CGTTTAAAGATGAGTGGACATGCTGGGTGGGGAATTCTGGGAGTTGAAGTCCACTCATCTTAAAGTGGCCATGTTTGGACAACACTGGTATAGAGTATATATGCCTTTGATAACCACATCACTAATAAGAGTGCTGTGTCATCTGATGCCTCTATTTAGACATTTCTATGATTATGCCTGTGCTAAGCAGGGACTACCTTAAAGTAGGTTTTGCAATCTTTCTACACCAAGGTCAGTAAGCAAGCACCAAATGGAGTACAACTTGTCTCAAGTAATCACTTTGATAATTGAGTAACATTTGTACTAGTTCTTTTCAGATATTTTATGAACAGAGTTTAATTTTCGTGCATAATTCTGTATCATATATCACAAATAATATTAACAGAAAGTAAGCTCAAATCCAACTCTATATATAAGCACCCCCGTCTTACCTTAGAATAATATTTTTTAGCTGCTGCTAAATCTTGTTGGGTTCCTAGGCCAAGCTGGAGACATCTGGCCAAGTAGAAAGAAGCCATTGCAAGTCCTCTGCTTATGTAAAAAGGAAGGCAATCTGTTTCTTTTGCTATCTTTTCAACATCGTCATTTTCTGTTATTCTATTTGGACATGCACCGCAAGGTAAAAAATGAGTAATTTCAGAACACAATGAGCAATTTCAGAACACAAAAGAATAACTCAAATAATTACTGAGAACATTTTTTGCCAAAGTCTAACAGACTGTTTAATTTTGTGCAAAAATACACCAGTAGTTTATAAGCCCTAAGTTCATGTACAGATAGTCCTTGACTTATGACAGCAATTGGGACCAGAATTTCTGTCACTAAGTTAGGCAGTCATAAAGCACGACTGCGTCGCTTCGTAACAGCAATCCCTGCAGTACTGGTTGCTGTTGCTAACCGAATCCCACAGTTGTTAGGCAAGGCAACTTCCTGCTAGCTTTCCACAACCATAGTCAGTGAGAAGCCGGCAGAAAGTTGCAAGTCCCAGGCCGGCAGGCAGGTAAGTGGCTGGGGTGGGGGAGGGAGCAAGGGGTGTAGGGGAGGGTTGGGGAGAGTGTGTGAGGGTGCAAGGGAGGGTGCGTGAGAGGTGTGGGTCAGGGAGGATAGGAGGGTGTGCCTGAGGATGTGAGGGAGCTGTGGCGAGGTTGGGGATGGTGCGTGAGAGGTGTGGGTTGGGGAAGGGGGTGTTAGAGGCGCAGTGAGGGTGCAAGGGTGTGCACAAGGGTGCAAGGCATGGGGAGGGTGCTGTGGGAGGGTTTGTGGGTGGGTAGACTCACCCCAGAGACTTGCAACCTTCCCCATTGACTTTTTTCCTCTTGGGACTGATGGATAAACAGTTGGAAAAAAGTCATGGAAGTTTGTTTTTATATATGATAACCGCAGTGAGATTATTGTATGCACAAAGATGGAAAGATTTGGCAATACCTACAATGGAGGAATGGTTGGTAAAGATGATAGAATTTGCTGAGATGGCCAAATTGATCTGTTTGATTAGATTTTTAAAAAAATCTGCTAATTCTGAATGTTAACTTGTGATAACCGCAGTGAGATTATTGTATGCACAAAGATGGAAAGATTTGGCAATACCTACAATGGAGGAATGGTTGGTAAAGATGATAGAATTTGCTGAGATGGCCAAATTGATCTGTTTGATTAGATTTTTAAAAAAATCTACATTTATTGCTGACTGGAAACCCCTTATGGACTTTTTGCATAAAACAGAAAAAAATGAACGTAATGATCTTTGGTTTTTGATGATTGGATAGGATGGATTATAGAAAGAAGAGAGTCACATGATTAGATTTTTAAAAAAATCTACATTTATTGCTGACTGGAAACCCCTTATGGACTTTTTGCATAAAACAGAAAAAAATGAACGTAATGATCTTTGGTTTTTGATGATTGGATAGGATGGATTATAGAAAGAAGAGAGTCACAGTGTAACTTTAGAGAAAGAGGTAAATCTACAGTTGTACTTATAACTGCTGTAAAGATCAAGAGCCACTTCTTTCTATCTTCTTTCTTTCTTTTCTATTTTTCTTCTACTTTTTTCTTTTTCTTTTTGTACTTTAGCTTTCTCTTATTTCTTCATTTTTCTTTATTTTAGTTTATATTAATTTTTACTCTTGTTTTTAGAACTTTCAATAAAATTATATTTTAAAAAAAGGAAAGCCAGCAGGGAAGATTGCAAATGGCAATTTTGTGATCACGGGGTATTGCAACTGGTCGTAAATACAAACCAGTTGCCAAACACCCAGATTGGGATCACATGACTGTGGGGGTGCTGGGAAGACCAGTACTCCGAGGACCAGTTGTAACCACCTTTTGTTTAGCACCATTCTAACTTCGAATGGTCACTGAACAAATGGTCGTAGGTTGAGGACTACTTGTAATTAAGAGTATTTATACGGTTATATACCTATATTCAGACAGAGTTAATGCAGTGTACAAGTACAGCAATTACGAATTGTTCATAGATAGGAAAAGGTAAAGAATTTTTGCACCTGAGGATTTCAAAAGCCACAACAGGAGAGATTTTAAAGTATTATTTTTAATTAATAATACATAATTATTTTTAAATAATATACATATCAGCATAGCATCTGAAATACATATGCTGACTTATTGCCAATTAGGTACAAAAGTTCAGTTGTCTACCCACATCAGTACTCGTGAATTTGATTTATGCCTCCTTTTTCCCAGTTACCTTCCCCTTGAAGAACAAACTGAAATAAATTCACCTTTTGGCAAACTCGACTGCTTTTGTAAAAAATTTTCTTCTGTAGTAATACTCCACCAAATGGCCTTTAGCATATACATTCCCTCGATCTGATGCCTGATTGAGGCACTCCAAAGCAGCCTTCAGGTTTTGACGTATACCATGTCCATAAAGATACATAAGCCCAAGGATGCCTTGAGATTCCAGGCTTCCATTCCCACAAGCTTCTGAATGCCAAAAGAATGCCTGAGGGAAAACAACTTTACAAAAGTCATTTGGGTGGGGGGGGGGAGAGATTTTTGCTGTACTGAAACAATGTGGACTGATCGATAAAGAGCCAAAGATTATGCTTCGGGTTTAGGAACAAACTCTCTAGCTACTCAGAAATACAAAGATTGTCAGTCTTCAAAATGGCAGTGATATTGTATGATAATACAGTGGTACCTCTACTTACGAACGCCCCTACTTACAAAATTTTCGAGATACGATCAGCTCCGGCCCCCAAAATTTACCTCTACTTACGAATTCACTTCGACTTACGAGCCATTTTCCACCTGTGCCACATGGTCCGTGGCCATTTTTCCGCCCATGCCACGTAGTCCGCGGCCATTTTCCCGCCCGTGCCACGTGGTCCGCGGCCATTTTCCACCCGTTCCACGTGGTCCGCGGCCATTTTTCCGCCCGTTCCACGTGGTCCGCGGCCATTTTCCACCCGTTCCATGTGATCTGCAGCCATTTTTCCGCCCGTTCCACGTGGTCCGCGGCCGTTTTTCAGCCCCTGGCACGTGGTCTGTGGCCATTTTTTCCACCCTGCTGCGTGGTCAGCGGCCGTTTTTCCGCCCCTGACGCGTGGTCCACGGACGCCGGAACGGATTAACAGTAATTACATTGAACCTTATGGGAAAATCTACTTCAACTTGCGACCAACTTGACTTGCGATCAGAGCCACGGAACGGATTAAGTTCGTAAGTAGAGGTACCACTGTATATAGCTGGCATTCTTCAGCAGTTGCCTGTGCTATCTAGAGGGGAAATAACCCTAACTCTTCAGTATCCTGGAATGAGAAATGAGACACCATAATTTCCAATTTAAAATAAACTTCATGTTTTTTATATGTGCATTTCTATTTCCAGGCTGCCAGATATTTTGCTTAGGTTTTAAAACAAGTGTTACTAAGTATTAATTTTTTTCAGCCAGTAGATAGACAAGATAAATCACTCAAGAATATTGGATTTTCCTTTTTAAATTACTAAAGATATATCCTAAGATTCAAGTGTGATGTATGAATATATGCTAATGTTTTATTATTCAAAATTGGCCATGTTAAGGGGTAAAATTATATTTTATGCATTGCTTTATGGCAAGGAACCTTTTATTCTTCTTTGTATTGCTCTCACAGTTGCTGTGGCTTGTCTTTTGAAAGGTGTATTTTTGAATATGTGTTCTTTTTTCTGGACAAGCAAGAGAGCTTGCATTAAGGGAAATAAGAAGAAAGGAGTTACGCAGGAATATGTTTTACAAAGAAGCAAAAAGCTTGTGAAGGATGTAATTTTAGTATTTTTACAGACAACCACTACAAAAAGAAACAAGGAACACCCTCAGTGAAGAAAGATTAAAAGGCACAGTGCTCTTAATTTCATAAACTAGGTCATAAACACCTTTTTAAATATTGCATAAGCAGCCTTCAGTGTGTTTTTAAATTCCATCTGGGTGTCCGTTCCCACTGAATCATCAAACTCATCTACATCTCCTGCTATCCAGATATTATTTATTTTATTTATTTATATTTCAAATTTAGATACCGCCCATCTCACAAAAAATGACTCTGGGCGGTTCACAATAAAACAGCAATATGCTAGATATGCTAGATTTCAATTTCCATAATTCCCAACTAGAATAGCCTTTGGCTAGGAGCTGGCTATTATGAAAGTGATGCTAACAGGGAATTATGGGAGTTAGTATTCCAGTTGGGGAATACTAGACTACATTGCCTTTGAATGCAAATGGAAACACACTACCAGTTGTTATACTCAATTATAGTTATCTGCATCCACAAATGGATTGCAGTAACCATCTTTACATTCCAGAAAAAAGAGATCAGATATATAAGAAATGCTTGTAAAGAATTTTCTGTGTGTCAGTACAAATACATATATATAAATAAAGACTGAGATTACCCCAATTACTAATTTTATATCCTTACCAACTTCATTTATTTATCTGATTTATATCCCACCTTTCATTTAGGAGCTCAAGTGGCATACATGGTATTCCCTCCTCCTCCTTTTTCCCCTGCAACAGTCCCATGAGGTAGGTTGGGTTGAGAGAGAGCAACTGGCCCAAAGTCACCCAGTGAAGTTCTGTGGCTGATGGGGAACTAAAATCTGGGTCTTCCCAATCCTGGTCCAGCTCCTTAATCACTATTCCACACTGGCTGTCTTTGTTAGTCCTCCCCTAGTCTGGCTGCCTGTTTTTGTCATTTCCAAGTGGAAAGAGACTCCATTTGACCAATACGAATACACAATTGAATGCAGGGCTTGGAATAAAACTACCCCAAAGAGGAAGCTACCTTTTTAAGATCCTTAGGATGTCGTGCTGAATACAACATTCCAAGTGTACTCTGAGCCTTTACACTTGCTTTTGGGTTCCCATGGTCTGCAGCAATAAACCATAATCTAGAAAACAGTAGCAATAGTGATGTGATTGGATTTTCCTTTTTTAGTCATAGCCATGTGGAAGTTTCTCAGATGTGGTTGGGAAATCTATATAGCTCTCCAAATACCATAGAACTGTAACTGAACAGTCCTACTCAGCATAACCAATGCTAAGGCAATTTGAATGTTGAAGTTCAGCGCCATTGGGAGGACCACAAGTCCCTTATCCATGCATTAGCATCAAATTGGAAGCATGGCCTTTACAACAAAAGGTGCTTCAGAATAGGACTTTTTATTGTGAAATTATCCAGTGTCAATCATAACACTGAGTGGGGCTCTAGACAACTTCCATTTCTAAACCTCCAGTGTTTTCCTGCAATTTCTGTCCTTTTTCTTTCTACTGAAAATGCATTCAGGAGGGAAATAGATAATAGCTGTGAAGTTATTTTATTGATAACACTAAGAGCCCTCCATCTAGAAGCACCCAAAGGTGTCTCAAAAAGGGGACCTACTGTATATGTTGAAATCATGGCTCAAACCATAATATAGCCTGACCTGCTCCAAAATTGTCAGGTCCTTACATATATGAATTCTAAGGAGAGGTTACCTTTCAGCTTCTTTTTCAGAAATCTCAGTCCCATGTCCTTCATAGTAAGCTCGGCCAAGGTTGTAGGCAGCAGCAAATTTTAAATGTCTTGCTTTAGGGGAGTCAGAGTTGAGAATCTTCTTCATATACTCAACTCCTTTCTTCTACAGGTAAACAAAAGCAAAGAACAAGTGTATCATGTCAACACATAAATCACCTGTGAGCAAGCAGTTCACTTGCATGTCAAACCAAGTCATGAAAGGGTCTGCTGTTTGAGATGGAATGCTGCAACACTTCATTGCAGATATGATGCCAACAACCATTTCTACTGAAATGAAACAAAGGAGCTGTGCATAACTGAGATGCTTGGTGCTTTGCAACATAACATTGAAGTAGAACATATGTCAGAGATTTTAGCTAGAAAGCAATAGAATCTTCAGGAGCAATTACCAAAATTCTAAGAAATCTTGTACCAGTGAACTCTTATATAAAAATGAGTTTTCAGTTCACAAAATTGTAATGAAGGTTGGGCTCCCAAAATTAAGCTGCTGCTACCCTAAGGAAAAACATCTTGAACCAGCTGGGAGAAACCTTCCCTACCTCAAACTTGCCTTCTGCCATTCCTGACTTTGAAGCTGCTAGGATTTACAGAAACCTTGGCAGACCCACCTTAAGACTTACAGCCTACAAGTTTTGGAGATGGAGTTACCTTTGATGAGTTTTCATAGACCATTTGTTTCATAAACCATTCATTTAAATTGATAGGTTCCTACAGGGAAGGAGTCATTGTCTCTAGCATCAAGTCACAGAGAAATAGACCTCTGTTACCCAGCATCTTTGCTTTCTCCTACTGCAAAAAAAATTTTGGTCTCATTACGTTTCAAGACCATGATTTCCACCTGGGACAGAATGATGAAAGTGGCATCATAGTGTCAGGACACAAGCCAGACCCCTTTTTACATGTATTATGATACTACAAAAAGGACTAAGTGTGTGGTGTGATGCTGCAATGCTGCTTTCATCACTCTGACAAAAGGAGTAGCTCCTGCAGACAGCCATGGTTCAAGTCACATTCTCTCTCAAACCCAACTCCCACTTTTACAGAAATGCTACAGTATGCCACAGCTCTACATTGACAATAAAGTTAGTGTACACCCTAGTGTGGCTAAATGGACCAAAACAATCTCTTTTATGGTAAGATTGTGCCATCTGAATAAGCAAATATTCATCTGAATAAGCAACTATTCCAACTGTAACAAAGTACAGTGTTTTGGATTCCATCCATGTTCATGAACTTAATTTTATAGTCATGTTTATGACATGGTGGTTGCATATAAATTTCTAATCTAACATTCACTATAATTTAATATAAGAGAAGTCTCTTCAATAATAAAGATGACAAGACATATAATTCTTTCAGTTGAAGTCATACAGTGGGGCAAAAAAGTATTTAGTCAGTCACCAATTGTGCAAGTTCTCCCACTTAAAAAGATGAGAGAGGCCTGTAATTTTCATCATAGGTATACCTCAACTATGAGAGACAAAATGGGGGAAAAAATCCAGAAAATCACATTGTCTGATTTTTAAATTGCTCACCGTTCTTGTGATCATTTTGACCCCACGGGGTGAGATCTTGCATGGAGCCCCAGATCGAGGTTGCTCACCGTTCTTGTGATCATTTTGACCCCACGGGGTGAGATCTTGCATGGAGCCCCAGATCGAGGTTGCTCACCGTTCTTGTGATCATTTTGACCCCACGGGGTGAGATCTTGCATGGAGCCCCAGATCGAGGTTGCTCACCGTTCTTGTGATCATTTTGACCCCACGGGGTGAGATCTTGCATGGAGCCCCAGATCGAGGTTGCTCACCGTTCTTGTGATCATTTTGACCCCACGGGGTGAGATCTTGCATGGAGCCCCAGATCGAGGTTGCTCACCGTTCTTGTGATCATTTTGACCCCACGGGGTGAGATCTTGCATGGAGCCCCAGATCGAGGTTGCTCACCGTTCTTGTGATCATTTTGACCCCACGGGGTGAGATCTTGCATGGAGCCCCAGATCGAGGTTGCTCACCGTTCTTGTGATCATTTTGACCCCACGGGGTGAGATCTTGCATGGAGCCCCAGATCGAGGTTGCTCACCGTTCTTGTGATCATTTTGACCCCACGGGGTGAGATCTTGCATGGAGCCCCAGATCGAGGTTGCTCACCGTTCTTGTGATCATTTTGACCCCACGGGGTGAGATCTTGCATGGAGCCCCAGATCGAGGTTGCTCACCGTTCTTGTGATCATTTTGACCCCACGGGGTGAGATCTTGCATGGAGCCCCAGATCGAGGATTTTCTGGATTTTTTCCCCCATTTTGTCTCTCATAGTTGAGGTATACCTATGATGAAAATTACAGGCCTCTCTCATCTTTTTAAGTGGGAGAACTTGCACAATTGGTGGCTGACTAAATACTTTTTTGGCCCACTGTATATTTCTTGGAAAAGAAAAACACACCCTTGGGTTTGTATTATTAAAAACAATTGCCTACCTACTGGTATCAATTAAAAATTGGCAACTGCTTAATCTTAATCAAGGCATACATTTCTTAAACAAAAATATATTTGAAAAATGCGTGATTTGAGGATCCATAAAGGAACACAACTCAGTCCCTGAACAGATACAGTATTCATGCAGAAGATCCCCACAGAATCACCATAGTTCTGTATTTTACAGATGCCATATAGGCAGTTCAATAACTTAAGAGACCTGTAGCTACCTCCCATGTTCTGCACAAAGCGCTGTCTTGATCAGAAGGAAGTAATTTACAAAGTGAAGAGAAATCTTTAGGATTTCCATCTCACCTTTTGCATTTCCTGTACCTGTGTAATTAAGAAATGACTGCATTCCTAAGGACTCTGTGAGAAACATACATGCAAACAAATGTATCTCTAATAATACAGTACTTCCTATATCGAATCACACGGAATTAAAACATTTATCCAGGAACATTCCCTTTCATTTTTCTTGTTCAAAATTTGTGCTATTGTTAAATAACAAACTTATGTATTTCATTTATTTATGAAAATATCTACCTTCTGGTTGCAACTTACAGGATTTGGTGGAGTTCCCAATCCATCGTAATACATTACACCCAACTGATACATGGACTGAAAATCTGTGTTTTGTTCAAATTGCAATAATGCATCTTCATACCATCCCTGCATCCAGCACATAGGAAATAAAATATTTAGGATTAAACCAGCTGGTAAATCTTACAAACTACTGAAGCTTTCTGAATATATTTCCTAACTAGATACTATACGCTGAATTTAAAATAATTAAAACAGTGACTAAACATCTCAGAAATTTGAAATTAATTGCATCAAGGACAGGTAGTATGTTATTAAATTCAAACAATGGTAGGACCTGAAATGATAGGTAAGTATGTTTAGAAGAAAGAGGTATTTATAACTCTTCCCTTAGATCTTCAGAACATAAACAAAAGCCTAACAAATAAGTTCCTTGATGGAAACTTAGCAAAAGAGTAAGTTGCTTGGATCCAAATCCTTGCAGCTGCAATAAGTTATGTGCATAATGTTTCTCCACTGAAGAAGACATTCTGGAAGCTATATTGGAGAAAGTATGCTTCTTAGTACCAGGTCCTGGGGAACATTAGTAGGAGATTGTTATTGTGCCCAAGCATCCAGTCAGCCCTGGCCACTATGTGAATAGCATAGACGTTAGGCCATTGTTCTAATTCTACATAGTTCTTATGAAAGGAATGAATGAATGCATCCTTGTGGGTCAGTTTGTTAAATAGATCGTTGGCTTTTCCATGTAAAAAAAAGGAGGTTGTACAAACCCATCTTTGCTAGTGACTCTGGATTCCTATTGCCAATCAGATTGGCAACCTTGATATTCCAGATGTTGAATTGCAGTACCCAACAACCAAGCAAGCATGACAAATGGTGGGGGATACTGAGAGTTAAAGTTTCAGTAGTATGAGTGCCACATGTTCTCTACTCCTGGACTAGAATATGAATGCATAAACTAAGATCACACATAACAGTATGCCAGGAGTTTTAAGCAATATTTATTAAGCAAGACATATAATGCATTCGGAAATTATCCAGACCCCCTTCGCTTTTTTCAATTTTGTTATGTTGCAGCCTGGTACTACAATCGTTCAAATTCATTTTTTTCCTCATTAATT